TCCCAAGGAACTGGCGCATGATCAAGACGCACCCCGGCTTGGAACAAAATGAGCTGCGGCTTCGGAAGTCCAGGGAGCGTATCAATCAAGACTTGGATAGCCCGGACGCGAAAAGGCGCAGTCGCAATGGCAGCTTCAACGATGTCCTTCAACGTAGAAGTGCTGTCCTTGCCAATGAGGACAACATGCCGATGGGTATCAAAGACCGTGAAGCGTTCCCGCGCTTCAGCTGTAGTCGTACCCCATGAAAACAGGCAGACATTCTGATTGTGGAAGTGCTCGGAGTCCAAGTATTCTGGCAGCAGTGTGGCGTCCTGCGGCCCATGCCCCCATTCTTTGGAAGATGCAGCGTTTGCAGCGCTCAACAAGAGGGCGGGGGGCTCGGTACGTGGCCCAAGCGGCATGGCATCTCTGCTGGAGCTAGCTCTGTGCTGTGCCTTCGCCTGAGTGGTGGTGCTGGTAGTCCCCTCGACCTGCATCCGATGAAGCGGCCGTGGCACACGAAAGACAAGCGCCGGACCTCCCTCGTAGTCAACATTGATGGGAGGTTCGTCAGCTGCGGTCCAGCGCAGGGCGAGCCACTCTGGCCCATCAGGGCCTGGCTCGACTGCAGTGACGACCTCGCCCCGTTCATTGAAAAAGGAAGCCGAACCTTGCTCTTGGGCGCGACGGAGCCTGTTCTGCGGGTCAACGCCTTTCTCTGTAAGGGCATCCCAGATGGCCTCCTCGGTACAGGGGACCGGCACTAAAACAGTGTGAAGGAGGCCGCTCACCTGGCGGAGATCAACTGGCAAAGCACGATGCGCCGGAGGGGCGTTTCTGGCCGTTAGAACTATCTGGGGCACTGGGACCCCCTCCAAGGGTCTTGTGACCACGCAGATTGAACGCACCTGATATGGTACTGTATACACGGCTGCCGTCATGTAATCAAGAATGCTCCAGTCTGGGCGAGCTCCCCGGACCAAATGGTCCATTCTGCATTCAAGAATTGTAAAAAGGCGTTGTTCCTCGACATCAGCAGCTCGTGCAAAGAGGCCTCTGATCTCAAAGGGTGACCAATTGAGAAGTGGCCCCTGCAGCCACTGTGGCGTAATAGGGAGCTGCGCCGTAAGCATGGCCCTCAAATCGCTAATCATCGGTGGTGGACGCGGGGCCTTGTGGACTGGCTGTCCTGCAGGGATTTGCACTCCACGGAACCCAGGTAGCACGCCGTCGGCAAGTTGAAAGCCGTCGTGCATAGAGCCAATGCAGCAAGGCCAGAGGAAAAGATCCGCGTCATCCTGGAGAGGCTGACTGCCAACATCCAGGTATAGCGGGCACACCGCCTTAGTGCCAGGAAGTAATTGCAAGGGTGGGCCGTGGACACAGACCGTGCTGGGTATCACCCGCACATGGTGCGAGAGGGATAGGGTGTAACCTGCATGACCGTCGTCTGCAAGTGGCACCTCCAGGAGTGGAGGGGGAGGGAGTCGAGCAAGTTCCGCTGCGCACTGGTCGCCTTGCTGTGAAACCTCCGAGGTGGCGGAGGGGGGGGTAGTAAGGAGGGTTGCCGCCGTGCAAGTCCCACACAGGCTGCGACGGGGCTGGCAGCAGGTCGGTAAGTGGGAGGACCCCCTGGTGGTGGGGGCGAGGTCCGGCCAAGGCTCGACAGGTACCGGCCTTGGAGCCAGTGAGGGGAGGAGTGGCATCGGTGCACGCAGCGGGCGGCACACGATCCAGCAAAAGAAGGGGAAGATGCACAAGGTGGGCTGCTGCCCCGAGGTTCACGCTAGGGTCCGACAAGGCACCGCCCTGCGCGTGACAAGGAGCAGAAGTAGATGTCGGGACCCCGGTTGGCTCACAGGGGTCAAAGTGGCGCGTCTCCGGAACCTCCGAAAAACAAACAAATCTACCTACCTTTGTACAAGAGGATCGGCTCACAGGTCCACAGAGGCACCCCTCACATGCAGCCGCCCCGCCAGCCCTGAAGGTTGCCCCAGAAGTCTCTTTGTCCTCTCGGCACACTTCGTCATTCTCAACTGTTTGCCCAGCCATATGCAAAACAGGAGAACGGAATGTGTACCGGGAGGCCCGCCGAGAAGCCTGGGCAAACTCCAGTTGGTGGAGTACAGCCGAAGAAACAGTACTCTGCACAGCATCGGCCTTGGCACAGCAGAGCGGCCGAGGCGAACACCGGCCAAGAAGCACATTAGCCTCAAAAAGGCTATGGTCGTAGTGGGAGACCGAGGCGGGGAGGCAACAATTCTCCCAGCCGCGTACCCGAGGGTCCAGCCAAGTGGTGTGCCGAGCCAAGCTCGGAAGGTCATCCACCGCTGCATCAAAACTGTTCATAATGCCGAGAATCGCTGCCGCGGAGGGCCCCACGTAGTCGGCTTCAAACTCGATCGAACGGCAAGCCATGCCGCCGAGAGAAGGAATCGGCCCATACATAGTCGAGAGACCTGGGTATGGGCCCCGCCAGGACACTGCGAAGCAAGCTTGAACTGGTCGTTGCCACCTGCACCACCATCGTTCTGTCCTCGGCCCTTGTTGGGCTCGGGCTGCGACGACCTTCTGGGCGTCCGGGACCCTTCCCTGGCCTGCTGCTGTGCTTGGTCCGCCGCTGCTTGCTTCATTTCCTGGAGCGCTGCCAACATTTGCCTGGCTGATGCCTGGCTTTCGGCAGACGCTTTCTGGAGCCGTTGTGCCTCCTCGATGTCCGCATCGACGGCATTCTCGGCATCCTCCATGTCCCGCTCGCCTCCATCCGAGGCATCTTCCTTGGCTCCCGTAAGGCGAGCCAGTTGCTGTGTCGCCTGGGCCTCTGCCTGCGACCATTGTAGCTCCTTCTCCTCGAAGTCGCTCATCACCTTGACCTGCTCCGCAATCTGCGTTTCCAGAAGCGCTGCCAGGTCTGACACGTACGCGTGCCAGGATTGAAGGTAGGAAGCCTTCTGGGTTTGGATCCTGGCCAGCGCTTGGCGGGCCTTGGCCTGGTCTGCAACCGCCCTGTGCATGGCTTTGGCACTGCTCTGCGAGTTGGATTCCTGCATGACTGCGATCATCTGTTGAGCTTCTGGGGGCAGAGACGCTGAGGAACTCGAGAGGATACCCAGAAGCGCGTCCATCTGGGTCTTCATAGGGGAGACCTGTGTCTCCACTGCTGCAGCACGAGGTCCTGGAAGGTTGGGAGCTGCAGGCCCCGCCGGTAGCTGATCCAGCTGAGGCGGTTGGGGCTGGGGCTTGCTCCAGTCCGTCTTGGCCTTGCCTTTCCCTTTGTCCTTGCCTCCCTTCGGCTGCTGCTTGCCGCCGCTCTTCCCCCGGTCCTTGGTGCGCCTTGGAGAAGGGGTGGCTCGTCTGCGTGGCGTCTTCTCGTCTTGCCACCATCCGTCCCTCCATGGAGCTGCTGTCGCAGCAGCCGTGTAGGATTGAGTCTTTCCGCACGTCTGCCAATGTCCTCCACAAGAAGGACAGTAGGTAGCGGAGTGGCGGGTCTGCTTGTTGCACACCTCGCACCACCATCCCGTCTTTCCGGGGGCTGCCATGGCGCTCTCCCGAAGTCGTTGTAGCACTGCGCCCGGCAGTGTACTTTGGCTGTGGTGTCCCTGCAGTATGGCACAGACACGTTGCAGCTTCCACTTGGACGCCTGCACGTGGCCGGCCAGCCACAGTCGTAGAAAGAAACGAGCCCGCGTTCTCGACCGCCTGGCCCGTCGGTGCCACGAAGCTTCTCCCAAAGTCCTCGTCACTGCCGTAGAGAGCCCAGAATACCAGGAAACTGAACAGACCACGCATGCGATGAAAAACCAGGGGAGCCCAGCCACCAATTATAAAACACAAACTGCTAAGCCTGTCACAGGCAGCAGTTGGCCAGCCACTGTAAAGTGGGGCTAAGAACAGCTGCTCCTCGCCGAGCGTACAGAGCAGGTTCGCAAAAAGAAGGACCTAGCCTGGACGAAGTCCTCAGGCAGGTCGGTTCGCGGGCCTACTTGGGCCTCGCTTGGGGTCTCCGGCACGAGACACGGGTAGTGGACCTCAAAGAGGAAACTACACTACCCTAGCGCTCGAGCCGTAACGCCTAATATAGGGGCCTTAATAATTAGAATGATACCATAATTATAATAAGGAGCCCTTAATAGTTAGAATTGGGTTTTGGGGCCCATGATACTATAATTAGTATAAGGAATCCCGCAATAGTAATGGCAAACATTTAGGTTCTTACTTCTTTTCTTTACATAGTCTGAATCTTACATGTAGGGGCTTCCAAGCTCTCAAGCTCTAAGGCTTACCTAAACCCGGAATGACCAACCTTTTTAAGGACTTATATAAGGAAATCATAACAAGGAATCCTAAAAGGGTAGGTTCTTCAGGTCTAAGGCTTAGAGCTGAGGAATGAAGGTACATACATGGTTGGGGCCGCTGGAGTTTGGGGGTCCGAGCCCAAGAGCTCCGCAGCGCGGGATTCGAGAGTCGTTTTACTGCCTGGTTCTTAGCAGGGTTCAGGGTTGAGGGAATGAGGGAATGGGCTATCGGGACTACTATAGGGGACCCTAAGGCACTATCATAGGGATCCATTCCCCCATGCCCTCCTAAGAACCAGACAGCTTCTGAGGCTATCTGTGAAGCTACATCTGGTCACTCTGGTCTGAGTTGTCCTTTAAGCCCTTTGAAAATTATCTACAATTATGGTTCTCTACAAAATAGTGGGGGAAATTACAAACGATCCCAAAGAACAACCCAGTTTACAGGGTTTCTAGCCTCCCGCTTGGCTAGGCCGAAGCTACGATGTCTACAGGGTTTCGGCGCTCACACTCGGACAATCCAGACGAGGCATGTGGTTCGAGGTCTGCTGCGGGAAACGACTCTAGTGGGAATGTCAAAGCAGCAGGGGTTGAGGGTTGAGGTCGGCTTTAGAGGTTGGGATTAGGGCTTATAGGTAGTATTATTAGGGAGACCCCTTAAAGGGTACCCCTTCTGAATGGGGCCTTATTGAGAGGGTCTATAGTTGTCGGAAACAAGGCCTTGCCGCATCTGGGACAGCTCCGCTTGCTCCAGGTTTCGGATTTGAGCCTCAAATCAAAGCGATATCCCAAACCATAAGGTACAAGCCAGAAAGTTGGCATATGATTATCGTAACCCCTTTAAGGTAAATTCTAGGGGATCCTACCATGAAACCATATTCCAACTTTCTGGAGTTCCCTATAAACCGCTATGAACCCTAAGCTGCGTGAAGCCAGCTTCGATTGCCATGTACTGCAGGAACCCAGCCTGTAGCGCCGCCGCCATTTCGGCTTCGGCCTCCCCCTGCGCCAAAACAAAATCAACGAAGGCAAGGCATCTTTAGGTACATGGGTAGTTCTCCAAACTTGGGGTGCCCTGTTAAGTCCCCAATATAGGACGGCCCCCTTTTGACAAACTCTAAAACGGGCGCTAACTTAGAGAACTGCCCATATGACCATATAAACTCACCGAAGTCCTAGACCTTTTTCCTCGAACCGAATCCGACTTGCGCGCCTTCATGGGATAGGGTTTAGGATTTCGGGAGGAAGTCAACTTCATGCTCCAACTCAATAGGATTAGACTCGTGACCTCTTCCTCTTTCATCACGCTACGCTGGCCATGGCATCAGTGCGCAGGAGACATGGGAGTTTCCGAAAATAGGGGTACCTTATTTGGGGGTCCTTATAATAAGGATCCTATTATTTAGGGCACTAGATTAGGGTCCCCTATTTTCGGTTAACTCCCACATTGAATCACTGCTAGTGGTACATACATTTCAGCTTCGGTTGAAACAAGGTTCATGTTGCGAACTGTGATGCTGCTTGGGGCTTGCCTGCCTGACGTGCTCCTGGTAGGGCAGCGAACGCACCATCATTATGGAGAGTATACGACTTCATCTTGGACGTGGAGGCGGAGGCCAGCAGTGGCGCAATTCAGCACTAAATCTTGGCGACCTCTCGTGCCGTTTCAAAAACCCCGCGGTTCGTTTCTCTTTGCATATGCTTCCGAGTCGGGTGGCACGGCTGTGTGACACGACCTAGGCGTCCACAATCACATAGAGTGACCGGTGGACAGACGTGCCAAGTGCCGCAGAAACTGCCGTCTTGATTCAGAGCATTGGCAAATAGCTTCTCTGCAGGGAACATGGCTAGCCGGAGCCCCAGGAAACGGATCCCATGCATCAAAGTCTCCTTTCCGCAAAAGTTGTGCCTGATCTATCGCGATCTGAACTGATGCTGCAGCAGGGGAAACCCAGGAACTGCTCCAATGGTTTGTGACTACGCGCTCAAGAGCCCGACAGACCCAGCATCAGATCTGACCAAAGGCAAAGAGAATAAAGCCAAGAGCGAGTGGAAGGTGAATTACCTCAGTTCCCGCATGGCAACCTCGCACCCTCTGACCCAACAAGTCCATATGGGATTTTGCGAAAATAGGGGACCCTACTGTAGCACCCTAAACAGTAGTATCCTTACTACAAAGACCCCGAAATAAGGTACCCCTAATTTTCGGAAACTCCCATATATCCAAGTGGCTTCAGCTCATATCTTCTAGGCTGTCCTCTGAGCGTTCGGTACGCTCTGCTACGACCCTCACCACCTATCTTGCTTCGTGTCATAGAATTAGAAGTTATCAGGGCTTTTAAAGCTTTTTTTTGTACAGCTTTTGCGTGTATCATGCTTTACGGAACCCTAAGGAATAAGATTGGCAACTATGCAGGCTTCTATATCCTCTCTTCTCCAATAACCAGGCCCCAACAAAGTTCACACTTTTTAAGCTAGACCAAATATATGAAGCCAAAAAGTTTTTAAAGTTCTCCGATAGGCTAAGTATTTTATCGAGACGGCTGTCTCTCTCTCTCTCTCTCTCTGCAGCTTGGGCCGCCCTAGGCCCTAGTTCCTACACACGGGAGTGTCCGAAAATGGGGGACCCTGATCTAGTACCCTAAGTAGTAGGATCCTTATTATAAGGACCCCCCAACAAAAAAGATACCCCTAATTTTCGGAAACTCCTAGACAGACACGAAGGAAGACATAGCTGGGATTGCTTTGCTATCGAGCGGCAGTCGGTGGCACGTCCAACTTTTCGCCGCCCACCACTGCCCTGGCCTCTCAAGTTCAGGGGCATCTGGGTTTCTCGCTCGTTGCTCTCCGCAGCCATAGGCTCCGCATGCACCTAATTAGAAAAACCCCGGATGGACGCCATCCGGCGGGTGCCCTGTTCCTTTGGAAACAGGTGTCAGCTGTACCCTCCGTGGCTGGACACCAGCCAGCAGGCTTTTGGAGTCGCGTTGGCTTCTGGAGAGGCCCGCTCAGGTAGACAGGTCCCCCTCTTCGTCTCGAGTCAGCCTCAGCGAGGGAGCCATTCTACGATGCTCCCCTGACTGCGCCACGCCTTGCTGGCTAAGGAACCCAGCAAACCGCCCCGCTTGGGAGGCAAAGTGCTCAAAGAGAGCCTGTAGCCTTTCTGTGGTGCGCGCCTTTAACTGTCGTAGCAGCTCCGGCTCACGTTGGGCCAGAAGCCGTTCAAGGCCGCTGCCGCCACCCCACTGGGGGTATGGCAAGCTTGACCAGCTCCCCAAGTCGTAGAAACGGACACTGTGATCCTCATTCAAGCCCAAGTTGGAGATCGTGATGTCTGCCACCCTGACCCTGCAGGCTCCCAGCCAGGTAACCACGGCCAGCAGGTAGCTTCCCTGACTATCGCCGGCGTTTGGGCATTTAGCCAAGGCTCGGCTTTTCTGTTCACTTTCTCCTGAACCAGACAGTGGAGCACAGCATACTCTGCACGGGCACCCTGCCCAATACGAACATTGAGAGGCCCCGCGTGCACCACAATAGCACACAGTTTGGTGAACCGGGTACTGTAGTACTCCTCAGACCCATGGTCGTAGGCAAAAGTTGTGACTTTGAGCACATAGGAGCCAAAGGAATACGCAATCCTCTGGTTGCCCTTGCCTTCCATTCGCATGTGTGCCGGTCGTGGTAGGAGCGCTCCCGAAAGTGGGCTTCTGTAGAGGACCAAAACGGACCCCATAAGGTGGTGCATCAATCGCACGTTTCTCCTATTGGCCTCGCGTTCCACTGCTGCATGGAAACTCGGGCCCTCGTCCCCCCAGCCAGAGGACGCCTCCGGCCGGGGACCTTCCGTGTGACTGTCGTAGGGCCTTTGCGTCTCGACCTCGTTGCTCTCTTCTTCCTCGCCAGCGGCGTCTCTACGGACTGCAGAAGCCGACCGCAGCCTAACGGCCTGCCCACCTTCCTCAGTCTCGGCCTCCAGCCTGCGCTTTCTGGCGGACTCCGGAGAGCGTAGAGGTCCCTGCTCCGGCCTCTGCCAAGAGGAGGACGCTTCCTCCCCTTCAGTGTTGGGTGCCGTGGCCTCTTGCTGCGGCTGTGCAGAGGCGGACGCTACCTCTCCTGTCTGTTCTGCAGCAAAGGGTGCCGTCCTATCCCTTCGAGGAGGCGGCGGGTTCAAGCCAGGGGGCAACAGCCTGCCTTCTCCCGGCGAGTTTTCCACACTGTAGTCCTCCACTGCAAGGCCCAGTCTTGTGCGCCTACCTTCCCTGTTGCGGGACTTTAGGAAGTCCCTGTAGCTTCGCGGCTTGAGGCCTTGCGCCTGCCGTTGCTCATTGAGCTCCTGCCATCTTTGCCTGAGCTCCTCATGGGACGCATCCCCCTCCATGGCTAGCGGCGGGAGACCCCGGTTGGACGCCAACCAGAGCCTCCCCACCGTCACCCACTGCGCGGGCTACTGTCTTGAGCCCTCGGCGGTGGGCGGAAAGACAAACGTGGCTGCACAAGGCCACTGTTGTCATCACTGACCGAGTTTTTCTTAAAGGTCTGCTTCTTCCGACCCTGATTTCTCGGCTGCCCTGCCCCCCCCCCGCCTGGTAGGGCATGCTGCTGCGCTTCTCGGCCCTGCCGCCACAACTTGGACAGCTTGCTGTTGCAGGTTTGAGTGGGGGCACAGAGTTTGCCAAAAACCGGGGCTAAGGCGCGGAACCCGACGCGCTGGACACGTTTACACTGGATGCAAATGAAAGCCGATCCCAAGCTCTCCAATTTGTGCGAAGGGTGCATGCCAGGGAGTGGTTCCATGGCTTGTCCAGCACAGAGTTGCTTTGTTTTCCTGTCGAAGATACAAGCGCTGTCATTTTGCTGAACATACAAGCCACACTTGCGACAGGATATGGTGAGGTTTGTGCTGCCACGGTGGGACTCCTGCCAGCAGTGTCCTCCCCGCGTTCCCTCTTGGATTAGCAACTCGAGCTGCTGCCTACGGCTGAGCCTGGTGGCATCACCTCGATCGGTCGAAGTGGCGTGGGGTGTTCCGCGACCAAGCCGGTCAGCCTTGGGTTGGAACAGGACCTCCGCCTTGTCTGCCTCATCTGCGGTGAGGAGAAACGACACCCGTTGGCCCAGAAACTGCACTACTTCTCGCACTTGCTTGTCCCACAGCCTGACACTTGCTTGTACAGTCGGGCCGGCGATGCGCAGGGCGCGCTTTTTGACCAGCTCATCAACCACACAGTTGGCCTGTCGCCGCCATTCTTTATCACTCCCAAACTTTGCTTCGAAGGCCTTTCTGCCAAGGTGTGAGTTGACCCACGTTAATCGCACCCGGTGTGCGACGGCTCTAACCGGGTCCAACAGGTCTCGGTTACTATGCCCTGGGCCACGCCTCTGGATCCTGCGAAGGACTCCTTCGCAGTCCAACGTGATGTCCAACTCGTCCTCTCCAGGGTGTGCCTGGACAGTCTCGCAGACCGCCGCGGCCTCGCCTCTGAAGACTGTCTGCTCATAGGACACAGCACCCGTGATGGACCCCACCACTTGGATTCGGCCCGTGTGCAATTCACCTTCTTCGCCCCCTGCTAGGACACGAAAGGCAATAACTCCCCAGATGACCGGGCCTTCCCGCGGGTCCTTCGGTCCTGTGGCGTCCGTGGCAAACCGGACATCCGTCAAATCTGGCACTGGCCAGACCCCTTTGATTTCCACGCTCGAGTCTACTTCGTAAAAGGCGCGTTTGGCCGGAAGCCCGCGCAACCAAAGGCTGGTATGACACCCATGTGCTTGCATTGACAGGATACTCGGAGGAGGCAGTGCATGGCTACCCCACATTGCACAGTCATACAGAACATGCTGGAGTGAGGCCTCTGTCTGGCACCTTTGGCAGAAGGCCCCCGGTCCTGCTTTTAGCGCTGCCTGCCACAAAGTCTGCACACCCGTCTTCTCCAGAGGAGCAAGGTGTTTTACTGCCTTATTGGCGGCCTGCCAATCAATGCCGCTGACAACGTTTTCTGCTCCCGGCGTGGCAGCCACCGCTGTCCACCTCTGTTGCTGTATGGCGTTTTTTAGATGCCACACCACTGCATGTAGCCCCGCTGCGGATGCCACGTCGTACGTCTGTCCGTCAATTGACCAGTGCCGGGGCCCTTGTGCTTCCCAGCCCAGTTCTTGAAGGTAAGTCGCCATGGCCCCCAAAGGCCCAGTCACCTTTTGCCAAGGCCAACGGGTTTCACTGAGACTCTGTTGCAGCGCTTGCCAAGCCTTCGTGAGGCTGTCCTCGGCTTCCCGTGGCCACTGCAGCATCATGCGGCTGTGCGCCTGGATGTGCTGTGCCATGATGACTTCCTTTGGGTCCCGCGTGCGGCCGGCATTAGCTTCCAGCACACAGATGACGGATCCTATTTTCATGCGACCCAGAGCCTCCGCATACAGGAACCTAAGCCACTTAAACCTCCGCGGTGTGACTCCTGTTGCCTGGTGGCCATAGATGCCCACTGGCTGCAGCGAACCTTTGACCATCCTGATTTTTACCCGTTTGTCTTTGGGCGCCAAAGCCCTCAGCCTCTTCTGTCTACCTGCCGCCTTGTGGAGGCGCGACCTATGTTTGGTCACTCTGCGGCGGACGCCACCGCCACAATCCAACCCAAGGTCGGTTGAGGTGAGAGCGATGGGCGGATCTTCGCTGGTCCTGAGCTTCTCCACTGCCGCCTTGGCTGCCCCCGAGGTACACACGAAAACCGTCTTTTTCTTGGACCACACCAGGGAGGACTCCTCCAGCGCAGCTTTCAACAGGCGAAAGGCCTTCACACTCCGAATGGCGGCCTGCGTTGGGCTCTGGTGTATCACATCGAGTCCTATGTCGTCAATCCACAAGTCTTGGTGGGTGAGGAGTTTTGAGTCAAAAAGCATTTGCATGGGGTTGTGCAGGATGATCTTGCTCAAGCCTGGGGCCAGTGGACATCCTGCAATCAGTCCTTGGTTTGTCCGAATCGGCGCCGCAGTGACACCTTCCGCCTCTATGAAACGGCTTCCGCCGTAAACCTGGGCGGCGGCATTGAGCAAAACCGGTGGGAATGCTTTCTCAAGACCCTCCCTTAGCAAGATTGTATGAGGAACCAGCTCGTAAAAACTGGACAAGTCAACCAGGGCAGTCACCCCATGTTTGCGCGTGTGCTTGCAGACCTCATGACGCGCAGTTCTAGCAAGCGCTGTGTCAAGAGACGAGTGCCCTGGAAGGGCTCGGTCCCATGGCGCACTTCGCCTGTAGTCTTCCAGCCACTGCGCGTACAAGTCCCACCGGAGACGACAATAGGACCGATAGAGGTAGCTCGTTAGACCAATGGGTCGCTCATCCTCTGCCGACTTTGGTAAGAGTGTGTAGCGCACCATTGTGAGCTGGTCGGGAAGGACTCCTTCCCGCTCCCACTGCATCATTTCTTCAACTAGGAGAGTCCCGGCCTCCTGAGTAAGCGCCCTCAGCATGTCAGCCGTCCATTCGTCCGGCCCGCAGGCCTTACGAGCAATGGTTCGGAACTTACGATGGGCCCTTTCCAAGTTGATTGGCCGCAGCTGCTGCGCCTGCGCTTGCGCCGCCATTCGCACCTGTGTGCTCAGGGTTCGCAACTGAACAACGTCGCGGGTGTTGTCCGCCGCACACCAAATCTCCCACCACCCCGCTCTGCGAGCGTGGCTCCTGACTTCCATGCTGAGATTTTGGTACGGTCGCTGAGTTTTGGCCTCGTGAGTTTTGAGTGCCCTCCACAAAGGCCTCATGTGGCCTGCACCGGCTTGGGTGAGCCACTCCTGATACCGCTGATTTCGTTCGTTTGTATCCAGCTGGGTGGCGCACCGCAACTGCGCTTTGACCACTGCTGCCAGCCTCTGACGCTGACTACTTGCATCGAGTGTTTCGTGGCACATCCGGTCCGCAAACTCCTCTGCCGTCATGCACAAGCTTTCGTCGTGCCAGTTTTCCGCAACCTTGGCCAAATGCACAGTCAGCTTGTCATGAACACCAGGCGGGAACCTCCCAACCGGGTACGACGCCAACCAAACCCCAAGCCGATTCCAGTATCCAGCATGATTGCCTTTCCATTGAATGCCTGCCGGTTGCTGGGGTGTGAGAGGCTTCCTCACCCACGCGAGGTTCCAGCCTCGACCCTGGCCCCCTGCATCCAAAAGAGACTCCTCAACACTATGACTGAAGTCCGCAATCCACCTGGTGGCACGGTTGAATTGCACGTGAGCCATGACACGCACAAAGGGGGCCGGGGACCAAGAGAAGGACGCCTCCTTCTTGACCTGTGCCGCCGGTTTCCTTGGGACCTGCAACATTGGTAGTTGTCCGACATTCCAATGCAGTTGAATGCGCAAAGCCGCATGCGGCCTCCAAGGAACCTCCCAATCAGCACTGACCGACACTAGGCCCTGGAGACGCCTATGGGCCCACACGTAATCAATTTGGCCCCCCGTGCTGCATGTGGCCTCCCCGGCACCAATGAATGCACCGTTCGTGGTTTCAGCAATCCTGGTTTGCCGGATGGTATCCAAATCACAGTTGAAATCACCCGCCACAATCCAAGGCACGGCCAAGGCTTGCAGTTTAGCCATGAGTTGAGACAGGATGGTTGCATTGATTGGTGTGCCTAAGTCCTGTCCCGTGGCCAGGTAGAGGCTACCCATCACAACATCCGAACCAGCGAATCTGGCCACTACCAACACGTAACCTTTACCTTCCAGCTGAAACCGATCCAACAAGCGGAAGTTGAGGTGGCGTTTTGCCAACACAGCAACCCCACCACTGCTGCCACCTTGTCCAGTGTCGTAGCTGTTAGCCGTCCACATTCGATACCCGGATGCTTCCACACTTGCGTTTGCGCCCGGATTGTCCCCTTCCAGGAGATGAGTCTCCTGTACAAAAGCCACACCCGCCCGTTGATTCGTCATCCACTGCTTCACCTCACTCCTCCATCGAGTGACATTGGCGCTAACACATTCGAAAAGGGAAGGGCGCCTCCCCTGTTCCATTTGCGCAATGACATCCTTGCATGCCTCCACACATCCCGTAGCGTCCTCCGCCCTCCTGGACAAAAGGTCAAGCATGCGATCACACAACCAATGGGCTAGGTCTCCCTCTTCCAGGTCCGGCTCCAGTTGAGTAACAACTTCAACGATGTCCCTTTCATGCTCAGCCATGCTACTCAACTCGGCCTTCTGAAGGATTTGAAGGAGTTTGGGCCACTCCTCACGGACTTTGTGGCGCCGCTGCTGCTTCAACACGGTCCTTGACTTAGCCTCGGGACCCTGCTTACAGCGACCCCGCGGCCTCACCCCGGCACCGTCAACATCGGAAACAGCTCCATCCCCGTGTTGACTCGCATGTCGGTTTGTAGGCCTGCGATTGTTGCAAAATTCGCACATCTGTACCGTGCGACGCCGGACCACTCTGGTCCAACCCGACTCATTGGCCGGGACAAAAAGTACTCCACAAGATTTGCACCAAAGGGTTCCACGGCTCCCCCCGGGCTCCACTTTAGACTGATGCCATAAAAGCTGCGATACCCCCGCAGATTGTGAAAAGGAGGACGCCTCCCCATTCAAGCTCCAGCTTTGTCCCGAACTTAGCAACGGCGCCAATTCCAAGACACGCGCTCCGCTTGACCCCAAGGTTGCTTGCGAGTCGGTGTTCCCCGTCCTCCGGAGGACACCCTCGCATACCCCCTACTCCGTCGCTCGCTGCTCTCCCGTCCCATACGGGTGCACCGCACGATCACCCTGGCCGCGCATTGGGCCGAAACCCCCCTGTCCCTCTGGATCTTGTGGAAGCTCCGCTTGCGCAGGTGGCACGGGTTTCTCCTCCTGTGCCTCGCCTCCCTGAGTTAGGGCCTGTACGAAGGCCTTCTTGGTTTCAGGGCTCAAGACCACTCCAGCCGCTTCCAATGCCCTGAGTCCCTCTTCTACCTTGATCCCTCCACTGCCAGGCTCATGCAGGTCTATTGGTGTCGGCACTTGCTGCTGCAAACCTTTCTGCAACTCCTCAACCTTGGCATTTTGATCGTCCACCTTACGACACATGTCTTTCATGTCCTCCAACATGCTCGCATATGTGGCCTTGGCCTTATCGATCCTAAGTTGCAGTGCGGCTTTCTTTTGGATCAAGGTTTTTAGCCCCTGCATCGCCGAGGTATACGTACTAAGCATCTGGTACAATTCCTCTTTGGGGCTTGGCTTCGGGGGTTCCACCGGGCTTGCAAGGGCCGCCCTCACAGCCGGCGGTAGATCAGCCGCGTACTGTCTGCACAGCTCTTCCAGCCCTTTTTGTGGCTCCTTGGGCGGCTCGAGGCCCGCTCTGCTAAGGAGGTCGCGTTGCACGGGGTCCGCAGTTTCCCACAACTGCTGAACTGCTTCCTGATCTGGGCAGGCATGACTAGCATCATTGGTCTTAATGCCCCCGTTGGTCTCTTGCGAAAGACCGGGTGGCGGGGCAACCGTATCCGCCTGCCAGCCTGCTGCTAGGAAAGCAGTTTGCACATCCATGGGGAATTGGTCCCACAGCTTCCGCACTATGCCTCCGGCTTTGCCCCACTTCGGTTTCGGGGTCTCTCGGCCGACCTTAGGCGACCTTGTGGTGGCAATACGTTGGGGTGCAGCGGGGACGCCCCACTTACTCCCACATACCTTGCACTCCGGGTGTTTATTGATACGGTCCTGGTAAATCCACTGCCCGGTGCAGTTTCTGCACACTACATAGGCTCGGTTTACGTTGGCGCACCAGGTCATGGCCGAAGCTTCTTCCCACCGCAAGGCCTGGAGCCACTTGAGCCAAACTTGAGCCACTTGAGCCAGCATCTGGGTTTCTCGCTCGTTGCTCTCCGCAGCCGTAGGCTCCGCATGCACCTAATTAGAAAAACCCCGGATGGACGCCATCCGGCGGGTGCCCTGTTCCTTTGGAAACAGGTGTCAGCTGTACCCTCCGTGGCTGGACACCAGCCAGCAGGCTTTTGGAGTCGCGTTGGCTTCTGGAGAGGCCCGCTCAGGTAGACAGGTCCCCCTCTTCGTCTCGAGTCAGCCTCAGCGAGGGAGCCATTCTACGATGCTCCCCTGACTGCGCCACGCCTTGCTGGCTAAGGAACCCAGCAAACCGCCCCGCTTGGGAGGCAAAGTGCTCAAAGAGAGCCTGTAGCCTTTCTGTGGTGCGCGCCTTTAACTGTCGTAGCAGCTCCGGCTCACGTTGGGCCAGAAGCCGTTCAAGGCCGCTGCCGCCACCCCACTGGGGGTATGGCAAGCTGGACCAGCTCCCCAAGTCGTAGAAACGGACACTGTGATCCTCATTCAAGCCCAAGTTGGAGATCGTGATGTCTGCCACCCTGACCCTGCAGGCTCCCAGCCAGGTAACCACGGCCAGCAGGTAGCTTCCCTGACTATCGCCGGCGTTTGGGCATTTAGCCAAGGCTCGGCTTTTCTGTTCACTTTCTCCTGAACCAGACAGTGGAGCACAGCATACTCTGCACGGGCACCCTGCCCAATACGAACATTGAGAGGCCCCGCGTGCACCACAATAGCACACAGTTTGGTGAACCGGGTACTGTAGTACTCCTCAGACCCATGGTCGTAGGCAAAAGTTGTGACTTTGAGCACATAGGAGCCAAAGGAATACGCAATCCTCTGGTTGCCCTTGCCTTCCATTCGCATGTGTGCCGGTCGTGGTAGGAGCGCTCCCGAAAGTGGGCTTCTGTAGAGGACCAAAACGGACCCCATAAGGTGGTGCATCAATCGCACGTTTCTCCTATTGGCCTCGCGTTCCACTGCTGCATGGAAACTCGGGCCCTCGTCCCCCCAGCCAGAGGACGCCTCCGGCCGGGGACCTTCCGTGTGACTGTCGTAGGGCCTTTGCGTCTCGACCTCGTTGCTCTCTTCTTCCTCGCCAGCGGCGTCTCTACGGACTGCAGAAGCCGACCGCAGCCTAACGGCCTGCCCACCTTCCTCAGTCTCGGCCTCCAGCCTGCGCTTTCTGGCGGACTCCGGAGAGCGTAGAGGTCCCTGCTCCGGCCTCTGCCAAGAGGAGGACGCTTCCTCCCCTTCAGTGTTGGGTGCCGTGGCCTCTTGCTGCGGCTGTGCAGAGGCGGACGCTACCTCTCCTGTCTGTTCTGCAGCAAAGGGTGCCGTCCTATCCCTTCGAGGAGGCGGCGGGTTCAAGCCAGGGGGCAACAGCCTGCCTTCTCCCGGCGAGTTTTCCACACTGTAGTCCTCCACTGCAAGGCCCAGTCTTGTGCGCCTACCTTCCCTGTTGCGGGACTTTAGGAAGTCCCTGTAGCTTCGCGGCTTGAGGCCTTGCGCCTGCCGTTGCTCATTGAGCTCCTGCCATCTTTGCCTGAGCTCCTCATGGGACGCATCCCCCTCCATGGCTAGCGGCGGGAGACCCCGGTTGGACGCCAACCAGAGCCTCCCCACCGTCACCCACTGCGCGGGCTACTGTCTTGAGCCCTCGGCGGTGGGCGGAAAGACAAACGTGGCTGCACAAGGCCACTGTTGTCATCACTGACCGAGTTTTTCTTAAAGGTCTGCTTCTTCCGACCCTGATTTCTCGGCTGCCCTGCCCCCCCCCCGCCTGGTAGGGCATGCTGCTGCGCTTCTCGGCCCTGCCGCCACAACTTGGACAGCTTGCTGTTGCAGGTTTGAGTGGGGGCACAGAGTTTGCCAAAAACCGGGGCTAAGGCGCGGAACCCGACGCGCTGGACACGTTTACACTGGATGCAAATGAAAGCCGATCCCAAGCTCTCCAATTTGTGCGAAGGGTGCATGCCAGGGAGTGGTTCCATGGCTTGTCCAGCACAGAGTTGCTTTGTTTTCCTGTCGAAGATACAAGCGCTGTCATTTTGCTGAACATACAAGCCACACTTGCGACAGGATATGGTGAGGTTTGTGCTGCCACGGTGGGACTCCTGCCAGCAGTGTCCTCCCCGCGTTCCCTCTTGGATTAGCAACTCGAGCTGCTGCCTACGGCTGAGCCTGGTGGCATCACCTCGATCGGTCGAAGTGGCGTGGGGTGTTCCGCGACCAAGCCGGTCAGCCTTGGGTTGGAACAGGACCTCCGCCTTGTCTGCCTCATCTGCGGTGAGGAGAAACGACACCCGTTGGCCCAGAAACTGCACTACTTCTCGCACTTGCTTGTCCCACAGCCTGACACTTGCTTGTACAGTCGGGCCGGCGATGCGCAGGGCGCGCTTTTTGACCAGCTCATCAACCACACAGTTGGCCTGTCGCCGCCATTCTTTATCACTCCCAAACTTTGCTTCGAAGGCCTTTCTGCCAAGGTGTGAGTTGACCCACGTTAATCGCACCCGGTGTGCGACGGCTCTAACCGGGTCCAACAGGTCTCGGTTACTATGCCCTGGGCCACGCCTCTGGATCCTGCGAAGGACTCCTTCGCAGTCCAACGTGATGTCCAACTCGTCCTCTCCAGGGTGTGCCTGGACAGTCTCGCAGACCGCCGCGGCCTCGCCTCTGAAGACTGTCTGCTCATAGGACACAGCACCCGTGATGGACCCCACCACTTGGATTCGGCCCGTGTGCGATTCACCTTCTTCGCCCCCTGCTAGGACACGAAAGGCAATAACTCCCCAGATGACCGGGCCTTCCCGCGGGTCCTTCGGTCCTGTGGCGTCCGTGGCAAACCGGACATCCGTCAAATCTGGCACTGGCCAGACCCCTTTGATTTCCACGCTCGAGTCTACTTCGTAAAAGGCGCGTTTGGCCGGAAGCCCGCGCAACCAAAGGCTGGTATGACACCCATGTGCTTGCATTGACAGGATACTCGGAGGAGGCAGTGCATGGCTACCCCACATTGCACAGTCATACAGAACATGCTGGAGTGAGGCCTCTGTCTGGCACCTTTGGCAGAAGGCCCCCGGTCCTGCTTTTAGCGCTGCCTGCCACAAAGTCTGCACACCCGTCTTCTCCAGAGGAGCAAGGTGTTTTACTGCCTTATTGGCGGCCTGCCAATCAATGCCGCTGACAACGTTTTCTGCTCCCGGCGTGGCAGCCACCGCTGTCCACCTCTGTTGCTGTATGGCGTTTTTTAGATGCCACACCACTGCATGTAGCCCCGCTGCGGATGCCACGTCGTACGTCTGTCCGTCAATTGACCAGTGCCGGGGCCCTTGTGCTTCCCAGCCCAGTTCTTGAAGGTAAGTCGCCATGGCCCCCAAAGGCCCAGTCACCTTTTGCCAAGGCCAACGGGTTTCACTGAGACTCTGTTGCAGCGCTTGCCAAGCCTTCGTGAGGCTGTCCTCGGCTTCCCGTGGCCACTGCAGCATCATGCGGCTGTGCGCCTGGATGTGCTGTGCCATGATGACTTCCTTTGGGTCCCGCGTGCGGCCGGCATTAGCTTCCAGCACACAGATGACGGATCCTATTTTCATGCGACCCAGAGCCTCCGCATACAGGAACCTAAGCCACTTAAACCTCCGCGGTGTGACTCCTGTTGCCTGGTGGCCATAGATGCCCACTGGCTGCAGCGAACCTTTGACCATCCTGATTTTTACCCGTTTGTCTTTGGGCGCCAAAGCCCTCAGCCTCTTCTGTCTACCTGCCGCCTTGTGGAGGCGCGACCTATGTTTGGTCACTCTGCGGCGGACGCCACCGCCACAATCCAACCCAAGGTCGGTTGAGGTGAGAGCGATGGGCGGATCTTCGCTGGTCCTGAGCTTCTCCACTGCCGCCTTGGCTGCCCCCGAGGTACACACGAAAACCGTCTTTTTCTTGGACCACACCAGGGAGGACTCCTCCAGCGCAGCTTTCAACAGGCGAAAGGCCTTCACACTCCAAATGGCGGCCTGCGTTGGGCTCTGGTGTATCACATCGAGTCCTATGTCGTCAATCCACAAGTCTTGGTGGGTGAGGAGTTTTGAGTCAAAAAGCATTTGCATGGGGTTGTGCAGGATGATCTTGCTCAAGCCTGGGGCCAGTGGACATCCTGCAATCAGTCCTTGGTTTGTCCGAATCGGCGCCGCAGTGACACCTTCCGCCTCTATGAAACGGCTTCCGCCGTAAACCTGGGCGGCGGCATTGAGCAAAACCGGTGGGAATGCTTTCTCAAGACCCTCCCTTAGCAAGATTGTATGAGGAACCAGCTCGTAAAAACTGGACAAGTCAACCAGGGCAGTCACCCCATGTTTGCGCGTGTGCTTGCAGACCTCATGACGCGCAGTTCTAGCAAGCGCTGTGTCAAGAGACGAGTGCCCTGGAAGGGCTCGGTCCCAGCGCACTTCGCCTGTAGTCTTCCAGCCACTGCGCGTACAAGTCCCACCGGAGACGACAATAGGACCGATAGAGGTAGCTCGTTAGACCAATGGGTCGCTCATCCTCTGCCGACTTTGGTAAGAGTGTGTAGCGCACCATTGTGAGCTGGTCGGGAAGGACTCCTTCCCGCTCCCACTGCATCATTTCTTCAACTAGGAGAGTCCCGGCCTCCTGAGTAAGCGCCCTCAGCATGTCAGCCGTCCATTCGTCCGGCCCGCAGGCCTTACGAGCAATGGTTCGGAACTTACGATGGGCCCTTTCCAAGTTGATTGGCCGCAGCTGCTGCGCCTGCGCTTGCGCCGCCATTCGCACCTGTGTGCTCAGGGTTCGCAACTGAACAACGTCGCGGGTGTTGTCCGCCGCACACCAAATCTCCCACCACCCCGCTCTGCGAGCGTGGCTCCTGACTTCCATGCTGAGATTTTGGTACGGTCGCTGAGTTTTGGCCTCGTGAGTTTTGAGTGCCCTCCACAAAGGCCTCATGTGGCCTGCACCGGCTTGGGTGAGCCACTCCTGATACCGCTGATTTCGTTCGTTTGTATCCAGCTGGGTGGCGCACCGCAACTGCGCTTTGACCACTGCTGCCAGCCTCTGACGCTGACTACTTGCATCGAGTGTTTCGTGGCACATCCGGTCCGCAAACTCCTCTGCCGTCATGCACAAGCTTTCGTCGTGCCAGTTTTCCGCAACCTTGGCCAAATGCACAGTCAGCTTGTCATGAACACCAGGCGGGAACCTCCCAACCGGGTACGACGCCAACCAAACCCCAAGCCGATTCCAGTATCCAGCATGATTGCCTTTCCATTGAATGCCTGCCGGTTGCTGGGGTGTGAGAGGCTTCCTCACCCACGCGAGGTTCCAGCCTCGACCCTGGCCCCCTGCATCCAAAAGAGACTCCTCAACACTATGACTGAAGTCCGCAATCCACCTGGTGGCACGGTTGAATTGCACGTGAGCCATGACACGCACAAAGGGGGCCGGGGACCAAGAGAAGGACGCCTCCTTCTTGACCTGTGCCGCCGGTTTCCTTGGGACCTGCAACATTGGTAGTTGTCCGACATTCCAATGCAGTTGAATGCGCAAAGCCGCATGCGGCCTCCAAGGAACCTCCCAATCAGCACTGACCGACACTAGGCCCTGGAGACGCCTATGGGCCCACACGTAATCAATTTGGCCCCCCGTGCTGCATGTGGCCTCCCCGGCACCAATGAATGCACCGTTCGTGGTTTCAGCAATCCTGGTTTGCCGGATGGTATCCAAATCACAGTTGAAATCACCCGCCACAATCCAAGGCACGGCCAAGGCTTGCAGTTTAGCCATGAGTTGAGACAGGATGGTTGCATTGATTGGTGTGCCTAAGTCCTGTCCCGTGGCCAGGTAGAGGCTACCCATCACAACATCCGAACCAGCGAATCTGGCCACTACCAACACGTAACCTTTACCTTCCAGCTGAAACCGATCCAACAAGCGGAAGTTGAGGTGGCGTTTTGCCAACACAGCAACCCCACCACTGCTGCCACCTTGTCCAGTGTCGTAGCTGTTAGCCGTCCACATTCGATACCCGGATGCTTCCACACTTGCGTTTGCGCCCGGATTGTCCCCTTCCAGGAGATGAGTCTCCTGTACAAAAGCCACACCCGCCCGTTGATTCGTCATCCACTGCTTCACCTCACTCCTCCATCGAGTGACATTGGCGCTAACACATTCGAAAAGGGAAGGGCGCCTCCCCTGTTCCATGTGCGCAATGACATCCTTGCATGCCTCCACACATCCCGTAGCGTCCTCCGCCCTCCTGGACAAAAGGTCAAGCATGCGATCACACAACCAATGGGCTAGGTCTCCCTCTTCCAGGTCCGGCTCCAGTTGAGTAACAACTTCAACGATGTCCCTTTCATGCTCAGCCATGCTACTCAACTCGGCCTTCTGAAGGATTTGAAGGAGTTTGGGCCACTCCTCACGGACTTTGTGGCGCCGCTGCTGCTTCAACACGGTCCTTGACTTAGCCTCGGGACCCTGCTTACAGCGACCCCGCGGCCTCACCCCGGCACCGTCAACATCGGAAACAGCTCCATCCCCGTGTTGACTCGCATGTCGGTTTGTAGGCCTGCGATTGTTGCAAAATTCGCACATCTGTACCGTGCGACGCCGGACCACTCTGGTCCAACCCGACTCATTGGCCGGGACAAAAAGTACTCCACAAGATTTGCACCAAAGGGTTCCCCGGCTCCCCCCGGGCTCCACTTTAGACTGATGCCATAAAAGCTGCGATACCCCCGCAGATTGTGAAAAGGAGGACGCCTCCCCATTCAAGCTCCAGCTTTGTCCCGAACTTAGCAACGGCGCCAATTCCAAGACACGCGCTCCGCTTGACCCCAAGGTTGCTTGCGAGTCGGTGTTCCCCGTCCTCCGGAGGACACCCTCGCATACCCCCTACTCCGTCGCTCGCTGCTCTCCCGTCCCATACGGGTGCACCGCACGATCACCCTGGCCGCGCATTGGGCCGAAACCCCCCTGTCCCTCTGGATCTTGTGGAAGCTCCGCTTGCGCAGGTGGCACGGGTTTTTCCTCCTGTGCCTCGCCTCCCTGAGTTAGGGCCTGTACGAAGGCCTTCTTGGTTTCAGGGCTCAAGACCACTCCAGCCGCTTCCAATGCCCTGAGTCCCTCTTCTACCTTGATCCCTCCACTGCCAGGCTCATGCAGGTCTATTGGTGTCGGCACTTGCTGCTGCAAACCTTTCTGCAACTCCTCAACCTTGGCATTTTGATCGTCCACCTTACGACACATGTCTTTCATGTCCTCCAACATGCTCGCATATGTGGCCTTGGCCTTATCGATCCTAAGTTGCAGTGCGGCTTTCTTTTGGATCAAGGTTTTTAGCCCCTGCATCGCCGAGGTATACGTACTAAGCATCTGGTACAATTCCTCTTTGGGGCTTGGCTTCGGGGGTTCCACCGGGCTTGCAAGGGCCGCCCTCACAGCCGGCGGTAGATCAGCCGCGTACTGTCTGCACAGCTCTTCCAGCCCTTTTTGTGGCTCCTTGGGCGGCTCGAGGCCCGCTCTGCTAAGGAGGTCGCGTTGCACGGGGTCCGCAGTTTCCCACAACTGCTGAACTGCTTCCTGATCTGGGCAGGCATGACTAGCATCATTGGTCTTAATGCCCCCGTTGGTCTCTTGCGAAAGACCGGGTGGCGGGGCAACCGTATCCGCCTGCCAGCCTGCTGCTAGGAAAGCAGTTTGCACATCCATGGGGAATTGGTCCCACAGCTTCCGCACTATGCCTCCGGCTTTGCCCCACTTCGGTTTCGGGGTCTCTCGGCCGACCTTAGGCGACCTTGTGGTGGCAATACGTTGGGGTGCAGCGGGGACGCCCCACTTACTCCCACATACCTTGCACTCCGGGTGTTTATTGATACGGTCCTGGTAAATCCACTGCCCGGTGCAGTTTCTGCACACTACATAGGCTCGGTTTACGTTGGCGCACCAGGTCATGGCCGAAGCTTCTTCCCACCGCAAGGCCTGGAGCCACTTGAGCCAAACTTGAGCCACTTGAGCCAGCATCTGGGTTTCGGCGCTCACACTCGGACAATCCAGGCGAGGCATATGGTTCGGAGTCTGCTGAGTGAGACGATTCTAAGGGAGCCTTCTACGATCGGCATCTGGGTTTACGCTCTCGCAACTCGGACAATCCAGACGAGGTTCTTGATGCGCATCTGGGTTTAGGGTGTAGGGTTCAGGGGCATTGCTTGCTTACAGCTGTCCCATCATGCACACAGCCCGGTTCGGTCAAGAATGAGGCAAAACCTAATGCAGAAGCTTGGCTGGGTACTATGCATGGGGTTTCCGTAAGATGTGCCGTTGCAAAATTAAAGAGAAAGTCCTGCCCGCACCTGCCTTCTGCGCGACCACCAAACTGTGGAAGGTTGCATTGCAAAGACATACAGCCTGACGAGGTCAGACCTATAGCACTTCTAAAAGTGTGCCCTGTCGGACTTGAGCAGGTGGCCGAATCGGGGAGCTTGGTACCATCGACTTACCCTGACTCTAACACTTGCGTGGGGACGATATAAGGGTGGTTGTCAAAATTAGGGTCCCTTTTTGGGTCCCTAATATAATACGGCACCTATCATTTAGGGTACCCCAAAAGGGACCCTGATTTTGACAACCACCCATAAACTTGTTCAGCCGACAGTGCAAGGCTCTGGCCTTTTGACTTTCCCACGAGGTGGCGTCACGTGCAAAGAACGTGGACACGCCGATTGCACAAAGTGCACTACCTTGCAGTCATGATTCGGCTTAGCCGGCTTTCCAGCTGTGGACATGTCGCTTCTCAACCGTATGACATAGCATAGTGCAGCATCGTAGAGTGTATAGTACAGTATAGAATATGACCATATAGTATAGGAAAGGATATAGGAGTGTATAGCTAACTTCGCGCTCACGGCCGGCCTAAGGCGAAGCCCCACTTCTTGTCCGAAAGCGTTGCTGGACCAGATCGGTTCTCCTGCGGAGCGCGGCTCGAGAGTCTGGGTTTCGGGTTTGGAGTTCTTGGCGTTCGGAGATGTTCGGAGACGCCAGCATCTGTTGCCACTACAGTTTGGGGGCCTTAACAACTCGAGTCGGGCTTTGGAGTAGATTTTCGTGAGACTATGCCGCATTATACCATGGAGCTCTCATCCAAGTATTGAGAGGTTGACACTGCAGCTGCAGATCTCGCAAATGTACATAATGCAGGTGCAGTTGCACTGATGTGTAGATACACGCGACCTTGTTGGAAAAGGCATCTGTCAGCAGTCCGTCTTCAGGTCGAGGATCATGGTCTCTGGCTTCGCGGAGAGAACCAACCCCATCAGCACCTGGACGAGACAGTAGGTTCGCCCGAAGACCCTCGGAAGTCCCTGCGCACGCTTCCACGTCTACTGGCAGAACGGCAAAGTACCAAGTCTTACGAACGTCTTACACAGGACAGCTGAAACGGAACCTCCACGAACGTGTTGGCATAGCACAAGACGGCCCAGATCAGCATGGCACGAGGGAAAAGGAGGCCCGGGAGGGAACTTTCGCAAGCTACCAACTCTCCAACGGAGAGCGCACGGCTTTGCAGCTTCTATGCCGGACAGGAGCTACCAGGCAATAAGCTAGTCCACGAGCACGGCTGTTTTGGGTCTCGTGGCACGCACACTGCACCTGGCGACTTTGGTAATACAACAGACGTGTCAGCTCCATTATTTAACAGAGGTTGAAAAGCTGTTATGGCTGTACAATCTTCGTGAGACGATGGCCATGGCTTTGCCAAAGACACTACATGTTCAACGGTCTGTGACTACCTGGACCCCAAAATCATGTAGGATAGTAGCCTTTTATCTGTTTTGGGCCATTATTTAAGTTACGTTTGGTGGTCTAGGTAAGGGTCTCTCAGGGTACGTGGTGCTAGCCTTTAGTCGCTGTGTCTCATCCATCGAGCCGCTATCAAGCCAATCTGCTCGAAGCAGCCGAGACTAACCTAGGGGCCTCAATAATTGGAATAGTGTTTTGGGCCCATTATACTATACTTACAAACAGGAACGCGAACAACAGCATTGGTAATTATTTAGGCCCCAGTATTAGAGGTGGCACTGCACCAGCACTTTCTGCTCAGCCGTCAGATTCGCATCATCTGACTTCCTCGACTTCCGTTCGTTTTGAGCAACAGGTCCCAAAACAGTATTAAAGTACGGTAATCCAAAGCCCAGCTTCCTCGACTTGTGCACGAGCTCACGGACAGATGAGGCGAGCAAGACCACGTCCGTGGCAGGCTCACTCACTCTGCGCCAATTCTCCTGCGAGACATCCGCATAATATAGGGTTCCTTTACAGGGGTCCATAAGGGATACTGTGCGGGCTCTATAAGGGTACTATAATTAATATAGGGGCCTTAATAATTAGAATAGGGCTTGGGGGCCCATTACACTATAACTATAATAAGGAACCACCAAAACAGTATGTGTAATCACTCTCCTGCGACACATCCACATAATATCTGTCTTCCCGCATCGTGAGCGTGGCGCGAGCCAGGCAGGTCTCAAAGACATAGCTGTTACGAACCATGAGAATGAAGGCTGCCAGGTCCGCCAGGTCCACGGTGACGATGAAGTCTCCCTGCTCCGCGGCTGCATGAACTGCCCTAAGTAACTCGACAAGAACCTGCAGGAGGGCAGAGACTTTGACGAAAGGATTGGAGCGAGCTCGCTCCAAACACAACGGAAGGAACTCGCACACCACTGCCCGCGTTGCGATGCCGTCCGCAAGCAAGTTCTTGGTCAACTCTTGCTGCTCTGGGCCGGTAAGAAAATCCCAAGCTTCTTGCCTCAGGGGCTGAGTGCCCTAGCCCCAAGAAGGTTAACCTTTTCAATGATGGTAGGATTTTTTAAAAACCCCAAAACGTTACAAAGGCTACATACTCAACTACTAAGTTGCAAGGCTTCGAGATCCTTTGAGCTCTGCAGGCGGCAATTACACGCGAGCCGAAGTAGAGCGAGGTCCGCCGGAGACTTCGCGCGCCTACCGAGCTCGAGGCCACGGTGGTGGATGTAGGTCCAATACAAAGGGGCCGGATCTTGCTCAAGGATGTGCTGGAGGGTTGAAAGGCCCAAGAGCGTTGTCCTTGCGTTACCCTGCGTCATGAAGCGCGACCCCTTGCCGCCTGCAATGCCACTCATGAAGCCGAGAAGATAGAGCACGTAGAATTTTAGCAGCTCTTCACCTCCGTGTGGTTGGATGGCTTGCTTCAGATCGCGGATGTTGGCCGGCACGTTCTCACCCTGCAACATTTGAGCGAAGCTGAAGGTGCCCTGCATCCTCAGGAGGTTTCGAACCAACTTCTTCACGTTGCTGCCCAAGCCTTGGGGATCATGCAAGCCCTACACGCCTGCTGTACATCTACCCTAGGCTCCTTAGACCTTCAGTCTATACTGGGAACAAGGGCACGAAAATCAGTTTTACGCTTCCTGTCGTCCCCAAGCAGCTGGCGGCTGATGGAACTGCTGATGGGAAGGTATCCTAGGTGTTGATCCAAAAAGTTGTCACTAAGTGAGGGACTGCAGTAACCGTTAAGCCTTTTGCCCAAATGGCAACTAAGCCCAACCCTAAAGCCCACATCGCACACCTAAACTCTGAGCCCTAACCCTCAACCCTAAAGCCCCATTCGGTCACCTCAACCCTAGAAATCACAAAAACCCTAAAGCACGAATTCGGGCACCGAGTATCACTGAGTGAAAAGTCTTTATGAATAGGTATATACCTCTATAGGAACCACAAATGGAAATTCAAAACATTCCCAAAATGGGAGTTTCCGAAAATAGGGACCCTGATATCGAACCCCAAATAGTAGGACCCTTATTTTAAGGACCCCAGAGAATAGGGTACCCCTAATTTTCGGAAACTCCCAAAACTAAACCCTAACCACCACCGTAACCCCGAAGAACCTACATTTTAAGGACTTATATAAAGAAATCATAATAAGGAACCCTAAAAAGGTAGGTTATACAGGGTTAAGGCAAGTATCAAGTATGAAGTTCATCGCCTTCTCCTGCCGCTGCAAGCCAGCTGGAAGCTGCCGTGTGAGCGACCTGGGGAGCGTCCGAGAATACTCTACAAGTAGGGTTTAGGGGTTTAGGAAGGTTTAGGGTAGCAAATACCAAACCCTACTTTTTTGTAGGTTCTTATTATGAACCCGAATATTATGAAGTTTATAGGGACCCTACAAAAAGTAGGGTTTCAGCACTCACACCACGGCGAGGAAAAGTAGGGTTTAGGGTCAAGGGTTGTAGGGGCCTCAAAAGATGAGAAAAAGGTTTCGGGTGTATGTCAAACTATATATACATATAATAAGAAGCCCCCAAAAATAGTATAGGTAATTATTAAGGCCCCTGTATCAAGTTCCTTCAAGGACTTCCGTTAAGGGTTGCTTGTGTAGTTCTACTTTAAAAGGTTGCAGGGCCTTCATCGTTGGAGTGGGGTAGTATATCAGACAACAGCTTCGACGAGGTAAGGGATAATGAAGGTAATTGCTACGGCCTCCTTGGGACGCCCACAATTTAACAACAGCTCCCACCTGTATTTAGTTGCTCCCTTGACCGCCAAGATGAAGATCACGGCCAAGAGTTTCTCGTCGTTGGGAGCAGTCCATGCGAACAGCTCTTGTAAGTGGTGCCACTGCGACTCGCTCAAGCGACTTTGCATTGGCTGCGCTGCTGTATACCTGGTTTTAGGTTTCGGGATGCGCAAGGCGCAGGGTACAGCAACCAGTGGCTGCTAGCGTACACAGGATGTGTAGACATCGCAACACAGAGAAAGCTTGCAGTTAACATTCCTCTGAAGCACATCCTGTAATCGCCTCGCACGATGGCGATAAGACTCAAAATGGCGGACTCAGCACGCTCCTGCTCCTTGGCATCGGAGAACCTTGCATGCAGACCTTACTTGCCCACTTTCCAAGGGGAAGAACATCGAAAAACGGTATAACTTTGTGGAGTCGACAACTCATCACCCAAAAAGCAAGAAGTATTAACTACTCGACAACTAAGACACCGTACTCGGGGTCCAGCTCTACGAAGGCCTCGCGCAAGCTCGCGAGCGTGTCCTCGGCCGTCACTTGGCTCCGAACCACCGACGCGACGAAGTCCATGCAGGTTAAGCCAAGTCCATCGTGCACTCCTCCCTGCAGCTGCACTGCAGGCTCTTGCAAAGCCGATTGCTGAGAATCGGTTTCGCCTGGAGGTGAAGCAGGATAAGTGTCTCGTATGCTCGGAAGAAACCAAGGCCGAAGGCTTTACCCTCGAGAACTGCTAAGGAAGCACGTTATGAATAACACACCCCACCTGGACTCGCTCGCGGATCTTTTGGTTTTCCCGTCATGGACGAAATCACTGGGTTTTGGAGGTATGATAAATCCAGAGTTTCCAGGTCCAGCCGGTGGTCCACGTGCCTAGACTGTCCAGCAGCACACTGGGGGAAAGTAGAGGTTGTTAGGCTTTTTTTAGAATCAATAAGCACAGTGAAGCAACAGCAAAAAACAAACCACTGACACACCCAGATGCTCTTCCAAGTAGAAGGAGTTGCACTCACAAGCTCCTCTGGCACACTCTTGTTCCCGTTCGACCTGGTGCCAAACACTGACCTGAGAAGATGATGGGCCAGTAGAATAGCGGGTAATGAACTCGTTGGCGTACTCAATCACCATCGTGCAGCAGATGGGTGAGTGGACCAACACTTTAGCAAAGTCGGCAGGGCTCAAGCTAAATACTTCTGAGAAAGAATCGGTGTTCAGACTGTATCCGTGCATCACCGCCTCAACATACAAGGAGATCTCAGCAAAATATTGACTATCGTCATCGAAGGTCACATCGTCACTTTGAAGTGAATCGGCAGTCAGCTTAAACTTGCCGTGGCTGGTGATGTACATTTTCTCTGCCATTGAGCCCTCGTCAAACACAGCCTCCCCCTCGCAGAAGAAAAGCTTGTGCAAAGATCGGCAGCATTCGGCAAAGACTGACGGGTACATGGAAGAGATGAACCCAAGCAGCGGATGGCTGGTCAAGACAGAACCGAATTGGGAGGTCGCCAGTTCTGCTTCCAGCATTGGCGATATCAATGTAGTGTCGTAAGCAATGGGCGAGTGACGAGTCATCTTGTAATCCGCATAACTCATAATTCTCATGAGAAGCTCGGTAGGCACCAAGCGATTCTGCAAAAAGATCCGCAGTTCACGGCGCTTTTTGCTGCGCTCGCTATTCACTTGACGGATCTCGTTGAGGGTGCCGGTGAGAATGGACAAGGCTGAACCGATGACCAGCACCGTTGTCACGAAAAGCACCAGCACCTCGCTGCAGTGCTACAACGTGAATCAAGCATTCTTTGTGTGGAGACATGACTGCAAGTACAAGTGCTCGACAACCGGTAATCATTACTTCCTACCAGGCACAAACAAAACTCTCGGGAGCCGACAGCTGTGTGCTCGATGTTGCTGTCAGGTTCCAGTGGCGCAGG